AAGAAACTACTTAAAAATAATGAAGGTTCCAGCCATGGAATAATACTTAAAACATTTAGAACTTTACACTTGTTTAATGCCTAATGCTTTACATTAAGGGGCACTGGCACTGAGCCTGAAAATGACAACCAAGTACTCTAAACCTCAGGAGTACTTCACTTTAAGCAAATAATGTGTAGCTCATATTTTAACACAAACAGGTTCTATAAAAAAAATTGGGAATCTAATTAAGCAGTTCATTTGAAATTCACACAAGCCCAGCTAAATTTAAATGCAGTCCCCCTCCCCTGCATGCCCATACTTACACACCATCCAGGCCACCTGCCACCTGAGTGAGGAAGGGGCCAGAGGCTACCTGCAGTTAAGCTGCTCCCTGCTGTGCAGACATCCAGCTGGAGTCCTGGTTTCTTCACTGCACATTCAGGTGCCTGCTAATGTGATTGGGAAACAGAGGGAGACTTGGCTAGAGTTCCAGCCTTTGGCCTGGCCCATCCCCCACTGGCCACTTGAGAAGTGAAGCAGTGGACAGCAAATCACAGCCTGGTCTGTGATCTTTCATTCTGTCTCTACCTTGAAAAAAATTACATGAACAAATGAATGAATGAATGAACAAATAAATAAATACATAAATTTTGACATATAAAGACTCACCGCATATTCATTTTTTAACATGAAGAATATTCTACAACAACTGAATCAATTCAAGATACATGCACTGACACATACTATAGGCATAGTTCTACAATGGTCTGACATCAGACAACACAAATGTGTAATATGATCCCATTTCAAGTGAGTAGTTTTGGACAAGATACTTAATTTCAGTATAGAATCACTTTTTAGGATATCATGCATGTAGTTGAAAAAAAAGGTATCAAAAAGGCTTCAATAATATAAGGCAATATCAAACAAAAGTCATAGGATATTAACAACAAATTTTAAAAATAAGAAACCAGAAACTTTAACTGCAAAAAGTCAATAATAGTGTGCAGTTATTTTTCAGCTTGGGAATCAAATACCTGTGTGATCTAAGCAAGCAGTTTATTACCACACACTTTCCTGAATATTATAATATTCAGAGCCACTGCACTTTGCAATCAACCTCACAGCATCCTCTGCTGCTGTTTTTCTGTAAGCACAGACAACTGGGCTTGCAGCTTCTTCAAACCTGGAGATCAACTTCTATAAAAGAGGTCTGGATGCACATGGACTTGCTGAATTTATTATCTCTTGAAAGAAAGTATCTTGTCCAGCTAATGATTGTAATTAGACAGGTCTTATCAAAATGAATTTCAAAATTGAAAATTTTAAAAATTGAATCTCAAGGAAATAAATCTTGCCACAATTTGTATTTCTAGAATACTTATGGAACTTTCCAAAAACCATTCAATGACAAACATGACAAAACTCACAACCTTAATGTAATTTAGTGATCATTCTGATATTTCTACAAATTTAGAACATTTTTAAAGAAATATGCAAAACAGGTAACTAAAGTCTTGAAAGCTAATTTCAACAGGCTCCTTCAAAAATATGTAGCCTTTATCTCTATGCAACATATTAACAAGAGTTCTAGAAGTAAAAATCCTTCAGACTTAGCCTCTTCCCAACTGCCAAGGAGACCACGGGGAACTGGAGTGCCTTTGGAGGCTGAGAACTCTGAGGTCACCCACCCCCATTTGGATCTACCACATGGGATAGAAGAAGTCCAAACCCTGCCTTGCAGGATCCAAGGTCATCAGAATGACAACCAGGAGCACTCTACAGAAACAGCACAGTAAACTTCCTTAAGGACTAGGGAGAGGAGCCCTCTCTGGTCCTTTGCCTGTTTCCTGGTTCCAGAAACCCCTGAGAAAAAACAAACATACAAATAAACAAACAAAACTAGAATAGATAGAGAACAGCAAGGAAAGCTTAGAAAACCAGGAAACAGGCAGTGGGGTTGCAATTATAACTCACTGGGTGGAACACAAAGATTAGTTACTTCTCACTATGGTATTGAAGATTTCTCCGCACACCCTTCTAAAACTGTTCACCTAAACTGTTGACATATGTCTTGTTGGAGTTAGACTACCAGAAAAACAGCCAGGTTCTGCAAAATCATGCTTCAACGTTATAAACTGCTAAATACTTAAATGAAAATACACATGAGACAGCTGAATAGTAATTTATAGCCATTTTAAGGTGTATAGAACCCGGTTGTATATAAACAAATAATTGAAATGTTAATGTAGAATTCATAGAATATGGTTCAGAACTTGCATTCTTTTTTTTTTTTTCTCTTTTAACACATTGGTTACTCAATACCATGTCAGCTAATTCCATAATGTTATAAATTGTTACTGATGTTATGTCAGGGCTTTTAATTGATCAGGATGATACTCTGCCGGCTCTACCTTCAGACCAGAGATGGTCTCCCCAAGAAACCACTGAACTTATTTGGACAATAAGATGCTGGACTCTATGCTTTGTATACACTTGCAATGAAAGAATCTTGACTGATTTTGAACTGTAATACAGCAACCAGGTAAAGGAACCCACGATGTGGGGAGGGCTCCGGGAGGGGTTGGGGAATCACAGAAAATATGAAACTGTGTCACATAGTGCAATGTAATCAACAACAGCAACAACAACAAAGAAAAAAGAAAAAAAGAAAATCCTTCAGATGTAGCTTCTTGATACTCAAAACTGCAGTTTGTGGAATAACAACCCTTCCTTATCGGGGCTAGTAAACACTGAGAACCTCAGCTTCTATCCCGGTTAAACTGAGCCAGAATTCCCAGTGACTTTACAGGATGATTTCTGAGAGTTTGAAAACACTGCTAGAGGTGATTCTCATGCCTTATTTGATGAGGCAGTTCCACAGGCTCTGGGATTTGCCACCCCCTCTTTCAAACCATCCCCCCGGCTACTCATTTCCCTTCTACTAATGCAAGGGGTAGTCTTTCATCAACAGTCCTAAGTCCATCATTATGCTACTGAAGTATTTCCAGACACTGTAGGCATGGACAGTGTCACAGAGTCCAGCATCCTACTGTCAGGATATATTCAACAGTTTCAATGGAACTCCATCTTTGGTCTCGATACAGAGATACATCCTGCCCTAGGTCTCCACATCGGGACTTGCCAGTCGCTGCTACAAGTCTATTATACACCCCTTTAAGCACAGAGACAGAGAAAAAAACAGTCCACAATGGGGTGAAAACCAGAGAATTTACATCAACATGAATCTAAACAACATGCTTACAGAATGACCAATGTGTTGCTAAAGCGATGGAAACGAAAATCAAAAATCTTGTTGTAGAAATTGATGCTACTGCATGACCCATGTATTGCTGAAGAAATAACCACATAAACAAGAATGACCACAAAAACAAGAACATCGATGCCCATGACATGTAGCAAAAATAGTGCTGAAAGGGACATTTACAACACCAGGTGCTTACAATCAAAATGGCTCATAAGAATGATCTATTAATGAATCATAAGGACTTTCTGAAAAAGACACAAATGAACAGAAAGTACAAATGGTAAACTTCACAGCAAAAATAACTGGATTTGAATTGAAACAAGAGCCAGTCTCATGTGGGCACTGGGTGTAATCCTGGTGGCCCTGTTTACTATCCAGTTCCATGCTTATGGTCTGGGGGGGCAATCAAGGACATCCCAAACCCTTAGAACCCCATACGCTCATGGGAGTCACAGATGATGTTCTAAGATCCTGGTTTCAGACTGGCACAGCTCCAGCCAATGTGGCTGCCTGGGGAGTACATCAGAGGATGGAACATCTTCCTCTTTGTTTCCCCTCATATAACTTTGAAATAAAAATCAATCAATCTTAAAAAATTAAGAAAGAGCAAATGAATCTGTCTGAGCCTGGCCTTTTTTGTTTCTTGGCAGGCTCTAATGACTGATTCAATCTCTGCCTTCATTGTAGGTTTATTTAGATTTTTCTGTTGCGTCATGACTTAATTTTGGCAGACGCTACAAGTCCAGGAATCTATCCATTTCCAGGAATCCTTCTGATGTGATGGCATAGAGTTTTTTGTAGTAATTTGATTATTCTGCATGTGGCTAAAGTATCTGCTGTCATGTTCCAGTTTTTATATGTGATCATACTAATTTTTTACCCCCTCAGGGTTTTTTTTGTTTGTTTTTTGATCACTTGGATCAGTGGGATGTCTATTCTGTTTATTTTCTCAAAGAACCAACTCTTTGACTCACCGATTTTGTCTGTTGCTCTCTTATTCTCTTTTGATTTATTTCTTCTCATTTTGATTCTTGCCTTTTTGCTGTTGCTTTGCTGTTGTTTTCCATCTCGTTCAGGTGTATACTTAGCGCATTTGTCGGAAATCTTTCTTTTCCACCTGTGTAGGCACCAACTGCCAAAAAATCCACCTCTTGAACCTGCCTTGGCAGTGTTCCACAGGTTTTGGTAGGTTGTGTCTGAGCTTTCATGTGTTTCAAGACATTTTTAAATTTCATCTTTAATTTCTTGTGTAACCCACTGCTTTTCACAATACCATTTTCTTTATCTTCCAAGAGTTTACAGATTTGCTGGGCTATTTGGATTTGTCAATCTCTAGTTTCACTCTGTAGTTTGAGAAGATGCATGGTATGATTTGAAGCTTTTCAAGTTGGTGATGCATGTTTCGTGACATATAACATGGTCGATCATGGAGAAGGCTTCATGTAAAGCTAAAAGATGCATATTCTGTGTCTATGGGATGGAAGGAAGTCCATTTGTTCTGTGTGATATCTATTGTTTCTTTGTTGAGAATCTGTCCATTGAATCTGTGCATTGAAGTTAATGGGGTCTTGAGATCCCCCCACCATTACTGTTCTATCATCTATCTTCACCCTTAGGTCTGTCAATACTTGTTTCAGGTAGCTAGGTGCTCTTGCATTTGGTGTGTATACATTTACCATTGTTATTTCTTGTTGATGGATGACTCCCTTTGTCATGATGCAGTGTCCCTTTGCCTCTTTTAATGTTTTTCACAATGAAGTCTATCTCCTCTGAGAGTTGAATGGCTACACTGGGTCTTCTTCTTTTCCTTTGGCGTGAAATGTGCTTTTCCAGCCTTTCACACTCAGCTTTCATATATTTGTTGATTAGCTATGTCTCCAATAGGCAAACAGAGAGATGGCCACTGCTTTTTACCCATTCTGCTAATCCATGTCTTTTGATTGAGGACTTTAGGGCATTTGTGTTCAGAGTTAGTACTGCCTTCTTCATCTTCAAGAGAATTACTTCTGCAGATAGTGGCTCGGACATTTACAGATCGGCTGGTACAAATGACTGCAGCATGTCTTCATCTTCTGTGGTTAAAACAAAAAAACACAAATTATTTGAAGATTCCCCTCACCATGTTCTGATTCTCTATTTTCACCTAAAAAATGGGAAAATGGATAAACCCAGTGTGCATGCAACTTAGCACTTAACAGAGGCAGGTTAGAATGCACACACATCCCACTTAGGAGAGCCTGGAATTTCTGACTCCCAGCTTGGGTTCCCAATCACACATTCCCGATGATGCAGACACTGGCAAGCACAAGCTAAGGTACTGCTTGGTCTCCTGCTTCCTTGGTGGAAGAGCTGGAGTACCTCCTGGTTCCTGACTTCAACCTAGCCCAGCTTCAGCCTCACAGGCATTTGGGGAGTGGACTGGTAGAGGACAGAGCTATCTGCCTCTCAATTGAAAAAACAAAAGCAAAACAACACAACAAAATAAAAGGAGACACTAACCTAATTTTACTTTGATTCCTTCTGCCTACTTGATGCAATATTCAGACACACAGCTGCCATCCCTGGATGCCCACTACTCTACTGCCTATGCTCCCCACAGCCAAATTCGGAAACTGTTCACTCTCCTTGGAGGAAGCTCACTTACGATTACCACAGGCCACAGAGCCTTCCCTGATGGGCCAGAGGACTTGCCCTTCAAATTAGAGAATTAACATTTGTTGAAGAGCTACAATATTCTGCATACTTTTCAATAGGCTCTTATTGTGGCCTCAAGACAGGCTTAGAAGATATTCTATTTAGATATTCTGTTAAACAAAATAACTGTAGTACAATTGCTGCTACTTAATTCTCAAAAATTCACAATAATGCTATCACAAAATGTTCTGCTATACAATATATAGGCAACAGATCTTGCTTTTGAGCAGGGTACACTTGATTTCTTTAGTGACCAATCATTCTCACACCACAACGCTGTGCAATTGTATCCAGTTTTTCATATCTTCTCAGGGAAGCGAGCTGGATTGGAAGTGGCAGACCTTGGACCCAAACCAGCACCCACACAGAATTGCAACTACAGGCAAATAATTAACATGCTATGCCACTGCTCTGCCCTCCTTATCTTGAAATTTTACGAATAAAGGTACTACACACAGCAAAATATCTCAGATTCGATCTTTGTACAGGAATCCTTGTAAAGCTGTTTTTAAATAAAATGTATTTACAGATACATAGATAACTTATAATTAACCTGTTGCTATATCAGAATCTTAGAATTAAAATTAGATTTCTCAAACCTACCAATGAGGTTTTTTTTTTCTTGTCATTGTCATACCAACATTATTGTTCCGCTCCTGTTAAAAAATGGATACAGTAGGGCCTGGGGCAATAGTGTAGTAGCTGAAACCTCACCGGGATCCTATATTCATATCCTGGCTGCTCTACTTCCCATCCAACTTCTTGCTTCAGCTCTGGGAATGCAGGCAAGGACAGCCCAAAGCCTTGGGACCCTGCACCTGCGTGCTAGACCCACAACAAGCTCCTGACCCCTGGTTTCAGATCGGCTCAACTCCGGCCTTTGTTGTCACTTGGGGAGTGAACCAGCAGACAGAACAGTTTTCTCTCTGTATCTCCTTCTCTCTGTCTATCTGTCTTTGTAACAACAACAATCTTTCAAAGAAAAAAGAAACAATAATCTGCTAAAACTCACCTAATATTGATGAAGTACACTACACATTTATGGTTGTTACAAAGCCTCTCCTGAAATGTTTTTATGTAGGCCTTACAACTTGGATAAAAACCAATGTCAAGGGGAGATATATGTGAAAGTTTATACATCATGACATATATATAGCAATAAGACATTACAATGAACTTTACCACATTTATTCTAAACTTAGTAAAGCACAGGTGTACTAACAACTTCATTTCCTAAGCTTTGTATTCTTCTGAATCCATCTTCAATATCCCAAATGAACCTAACATATAATATGTCTCTGTTGCTGATACCAAAGGAGATTTTTTTTTACCTCTTTTAACTATGATCATTTTATGATACATTTCCTAGGCCCTGGGATTTCCTTTATCCCCTCCCCAATTCTTCCCCACCCACTGAGTTCCCCTATATCATTACTACAGTATACTTCTTCACACACAGTCATACGACCATCATTCCGGGCATGGACAAAGGCAGAGAGTCCAGCATCCTATTGTCAAGATATACTAAGCTGCTTCATTGGGAGGCCATTTTTGAATGGAAGTAGAGATGCATACTGCATTGGATCCTCACATCTGGAAAGGACAGTCTCCAATACACAGTTACTACACATCCCCTTGCACATTAGTCACTCAGTAGTATGTTATTTCACTCCATGCTTTCCTACATTTCATTTTTCCCAGAGTCTATGGAACTGTATAGTAAAATAACAAGAACACTCCTAACAAAAAGAGCAGAAAATACCTAACATTAACTGAAAGCTAAAATAGATTCCCTTAGGACTAGCCAACCTGTAAGACCATCTGCCCATTCCCTCTCAGTCTTACACTTATAAGAGTGCTTTTGACATTTTTTTTCATCAATAACATAAGTAGAATCAGACAGAAATGGCATGTCTTTGCTGAAAAAAACTGTACATGGATATATTTCTGCAACATGGAAATATTTGTTTGTTTTTAATACAAAGTCTGATGTAGATAGAGGGGAGCAGAGACAGAGCAGAAGATCCTCCATCTGATGATTCATCCCCAAGTGACCGCAATGGTTGCACCACAACAGCAGGAGATGTGAATCAGGAGCCAGGAACTCCTCCAGGTCTCCCATGTCAGTGTAGGTTCCCAGGGGTTTGTGCCGTTCTCCACTGCTTCCCTAGGCCACAGGCAAGGAGCTTGAGGAGAAGCAGCACCACTGGGATGAGAATCTGCGCCCATATGGGATCACTTTGCATTCAAGGCTGAGGACTTCAGCTGCTAGGCCATTGCCCCAGGCCCCAGTGTCTCTATCCCATTAGTTTTAGGGTTAGCTTGAATAAGGGCTAACACCCTTATTAACTACAGGGGTGTGAATTTTTTAGTAGTTGTTGCTGTTGCAGTTTCTAGGTTTATTAAAATAACAAAATGAGAGACTCAATTCAGAGAATTTTACTTCTGTCCTTCCAATCAAACCAAATAAAGTAGCTGCTTTCCACTTCTGAGACACTAAAAATGTCCTTCTCTTATTAATATCAAACCAAAAAGAAAACCACACAACCTACATTAGAGCCCTAAATTCACAGCCAAGAAGTATCTGGTTCAAAAAACAATTATTACACTGGTGCTGGCACTGTGACACAGTGTGTTAACTACCACCAATGACACTGCCATTCCAGAGAGCTCATGGAGCAGCTGCCCTACTTCTGATTCACTTTCCCGCTAGTGTGTCTAGGAATTCACCAAAGCTGGCGCAAGTACCTCCTGCATCCTTGTGGGACATCTAAAAGTAGCACTAGACCCTGGCTTTGGCCTGACCCGGCCCCGGCAGCTGCAGCCACTGAGGGAGTGAATCAGTGGACAGATGATTGATCAGACTCTCTTGCTCTTTTTCCCTGACCTTTTTCTCTGTATTTCTGCCTTAAAAATAAATATGATGATAACCTTTATTTCCTAGATTTTTAAATTGGAAAATCAGATTTCATAGAGAAGGAGAGAGAAAAAAACTCTTTCCATGGGTGGTCCATTCTCCATATGTCCACAATGGCATGGGCTGAGCTGATTCAAAGCTAGGAGCCGGTAGTTTCTTCCACGTCTCCATGTGGGTGCACCATCCCACGGCTTTGGGCCATCCTCTACTGCTTTTCCACACCACAAGCAGGGAGCTGCATGGGAAGTGCTAAGCTGGGAAACAAAATTGGTGCACATACGGGATCCCAGTCGCATACGCACAGCGAGGACTTTAGCCACTAGGCTACGGTGCTGGGCCCAACTCTTTTATTTGTGATACTTGCATCCCAGATCAGAGTGCCTGCTGTCACTTCCACCTACTTTGCCTCCAGGACAGATGCCTGCTAATGCACCTGGATTCAGCAGGTGACACTTGAGGTACTTGCATCCCTACAACCCATGGGAGAGACTCTGATGGACTTCCAGGTTCCTGCCTGTGGCTTGACCCAGTCCTGCAGGGATGAGTGCAGTGACCAACACACGTCAAGTGAATTAGTTAAAAAAACAAAAACAATGTTAAGGAAAAGATTTCTTCTGCAAAACACATACTCAAACTGTTTCCATTAACAAATGGACTGTTCCACCAAGTAAAGCCTCACACCAAATCCCTACTGAGCTCCCAGTGAAGACAGTGTCTTTTATTTTGAAGAAAACATCAACATTCTATCTAGTCTAAAGCTATTTTGCTAAACAAAATGCTCCTGATACGATGCTAGGACATGAGATGCTGATACATTTTTACTGAGATTACAGCTTAGACATAAGGCAAGTCACCGTTAACCCCGTATACAGATGCCAGATTCTAAGATTTAATTTCCTTTTGAAAATATATTGAATTTAATACTATAAATAAACAATGCAATGATAAATGCGCTGTACCTCTTCAAAAGCCCACATTCAGTTGAAAACATAAGATTCCATGAATGCTAACTCAAAACCAAAATGAAGAAAAGCATAATTATCATGGAACACCTGGCCAGGAGCTCCACACTCCACAATGCTCAACTGCCTTTGAGTCATTTCTTTCAAGATTTACTTATTTCTAGTGCAAAGTCAGCTATGCAGAGAGGAGAGTCAGAGAGGAAGATCTTTTGTTGGATGATTCAATCCCCATGTGACCACAACAGTCACTGCTGCACCGTTAAGAATCAGGAGCCAGGAGGCTCCTCCTGGTCTCCCATGCGTGTGCACGATCCTAGGGCTTTGTCCTGTCCTCTACGGCTTTCCCAGGCCACAAGCAGGGAGCTGGATGGGAAGCAGGCCACTGGGATTAGAACCATTGCCCATACGAGATCTCGATGTGCTGAAGACAAGGACTTTCGCCACTAATTCACTGTGCAGGGCCATCTTCAGGCATTCTTCAGTGAACCCCACAGGGTTTCCAATAGCAAGGTGCCTCTACCACAGGAGCAGGAATTCAACTCGCGTCTTCTCCAATGTCTATGCCTACACTACCCAGGGCTCACACACAAGCAAGTTGTCTTCTAGCAAATTGCATTTACACTCAGAAGAGCATTAGATAAACATCAAGAATAACAGTTCATCTCACATCTAAGTCTTTCATGGCACAACAGTTTACCTAAAATATTTCCCAAGCTCCGTTTAGTTACCTCTGCTTCTACATCCACATTTTGCTTCAAAGGCAACTTCCAACTGTCACCACGTTCATGCTGAGCAGTAGCTTGCATAGCTGTAGGGTCAGCACAGTGTCCATTCTCTGAATTAACAAAAAGAGGATGAGAAACTGTCACAACTCACCAAGTATCAATACACATGTACATTACAGTGATAAATAGTGTATACCATGAACCAATCAGAATGATTTATTAGCCCATGACATAGGTTTTTATTACACAGGTGTTGGTTTTCCATACATTATAGCCCTTTAATTTACAAGAGAAAGGCAAACTGATTCCTTAAGGAAATATTTGTATTTAGTGAAGAGTTAAAACAGAACTGTGTAGCTAATCTGTAGAGAAGAAAAGATCCAAAGTAATCGGAATTACAGCCAGGAACCCTGTGCGGTCCGCAGAAACACAAGAACAGTAAACTTCCTTTGTGACTAGGGAGAGGAACTTTATCTGGTCCTTGCCTGGTTCCAACTTTAGGTTCCCACCCTCTCTTGCAATGACCATCAGGATCGCTCTAGAAACCCCTCAAAACAAACAAACAAACAAACAAAAAAATCTAGGATAGACAGAGAACAACAAGGAAAGCTTAGAATCAGACAGGAAATGGTCAGCATGGATTCACTTATACCTCACTAGGTGGGACACAAAGATTAGTCGTTCCTCACTAGGGTATTGAAGATTTCTCTGCACATCCCTCCTAAAACTGTTCACCTAAACTTCTGACACATGTCAGAGTTATAAGCCAGTTTAGATTAACCGAAAAATAGGCAGGTTCAGCAAAATCATGTTCCAATGCTCTAAACTGCTAAATACTAAAATGAAAATAGACATGACACGGCTGAATAGTAATCTAGAGCCATTTTAACCTGTATAGAATCCGGTTGTATATAACTAAAATTGAAACATCAATGCAGAAGTCATAGAATGTGGTGAAGAACTTGCATTTTTTTTTAACATACCAGTTACTCAATACCATGTCAATTAATTCCATAATGTTAAAAATTGTTGCTAAGGTTATGTCAGGGCTTTTAATTGATTGGAATGATACTCTGCTGGCTCCACCTTCAGAACAAAAAGGTCTCCCCAAGAAAGTGTAGGGGGAGCACTGGAAGGACAGGCCCTATGTTATTCATACCTATGCATGCTCACACACTCTAGGGGAGGGACAGTTCATTTGGGGGCTTTCAGGGCTATGATGAGGACTATGAAGAGGGCCAAAGAGCTAGTGGGCTTGGAGGGGGAGGGCCGTGGCCCATGCCCGAGTTCCGGGCATCTCCAGGCAACAGCTTGTTGCTAACCAACGGCCATTGTTAGCTGCCTATATAAGTCCCAGCATGCCTTGCTCTGGCGACACTTTGTGGGACTGTCCGACTGAACTGGATGCTCTCTGAGCACTCCAGCGCAGTTAAGTGACCCACAGCCATGTCCTCAGGGATCCGTGGCCTAGGCGCCAGGCTAGGCCACTACCTGGGACAGGCAAAGGACATCAGCAGCTATTTCACACATAGACTTGTCAAAGGTGTGTGGGGGAAGGACCTGCAAGGATGTGAAGAGCACATGCTGACAAGTGTCTCCACAGACGTGGAAGCATGCTATCAGGCATGGGAGCTGCAAAACAACCAGCACACCGCCACTCAACACACCTTACCCCAAACACTGGATCAATTCACAATCGAATCAGAACTCTTCAATACCAACTGCACTCATCACCACGCAGAGGACAAAGCAGAAGCGGGAAAGCTGGGAAAGGAAGGCGCCCAGCACCTGCAAACTCTCGGGCACTTTCCCACCAGAGAGCATCTCCTCAGAACGCCCGAGCCTCTACCAGAAGCCTCCAATAAGCCAACGTTTCACCAAGAAACTAACCCTCTGGCCTGCTGTGAGCCTCCTCAGTGGCTCCTGCAGGAGAATCAAAACCTCAAGACATCACTAGCCACCAAAGATGAAACAATCAGGCTCCTCCGGGAAAGCATCCACACAATATGTCAGGCCGTGAGAGAAGCCACACACGTGGACACACAACACCGGCAAGTGGCCCTTGAGATCAAACGACTCCAGAAGAAGGAACAGCTCTTACACAAGCTAGCCAAGGGCAGGGAGCTTTTTCTCACAGCCAAAAAGAAGGAGGTGCATGCTCTGCAGAACCACCTGGCAGAGATCCAGCAGGTAAACGAGACGCTCAAACAATCCATGGCCAAAGTCACCCAGTTCCGGAGGCTTCTTGACACCACACACCACGTCGGCCAGGACACACCGAGTCACACTCACTTGGCACACAATCTCCACAACAACAACATCAGAGCCACAGAGATTGAGGATCAATCCCGCCAAGTCCCGCAGACTCTTGGCAACTTTTCTCCCACCAAAGAAGATCTCCTAAGACACCTCCAAGCTTCCCTACACGCCTCCCACAGGACACCATGCACACAAGAGTCTCCAGAGCTCACGCAACCTGGGACCTCAAGCGAGTCTTCTCAACTCCTCCAAGGGACCAGCCACAACCTCAAAGCATCACTTGCACCAACACAAGCCACAACCACGCTCCTCCTGGAACAAACACACACAATGCCTTCTTCCAAGAACACCACCACCACCACACTCGAGACGCAACAACACCAAATGTCTCTGCAGATCAAGCAACTCGAGGACAAACAACATTTCTTGCAAAAGTTACTCAAAGGCAAAGACCTGTTCATGCAGGCCAAAAACAAGCAGCTACGATCTCTCCACAAGAGCCTCGAGGACAAAGAGAAGGAAAATAACACTTTACGGCAAATCCTGAGCACACTCTCACCCTCCACCACCGACACCATATCACTGGAGACACAACACGACCCAGAGTCTTCAGCACTCGAGGAAATGAGGAAGAAACAACAGGAGCTAGAGAAGCTCGTGCGAGGGAAAGGGCTGGTGCTCAGACACAAAACTCAGCAGTTGCGCACGCTCCAGGACACCCTTGTCCAGAAGGAGGAGGAGAACAGAATCTTAAAGCAATCTGTGACCCAGTTAGAAGAGGCCGTGTCCACACTGCAGATGGAGATTCAGCAACGCACACAAGAACACGAGACAAGACCCGACACAGTTCGGGAAACGAAGGAGGCCTCCAACACGGAGAGGCCCACGTCAATCCAAGAGGACCCATTGGCTGCCTGTGCACTCAGGGAGGAGCTGCACACTCGTGAGCGGCTGCTCCGAGAAAAAGAAGACCGATGCCAGCAGCTCTTCAGTGCCACAGAGGCCATCCTGAAGCAGATCCTGGTGCTCCAGCAGGAGAAAGACACAATGCTGCTGGCCCTGCACCAGAAACACCTGCAGGAACAGGCCCTGCAGAGCACACTGCAGAGCTTACAAGACATGTTCAGCACCAGCACCACAGGGACCACCAGCATCTTGCACAGTCCCAAGAGTCTCACGTGCCTCAAGGCCTGCCTGAAGCACAAGCACTGGCGGCAGTTCAAGCCAGAGCTGGAGGAGCAGGAGCAGCAGGAAAAGGAGCAGGAGGAGCCGGAGGTGCCGGAGCAGGAGCAGCAGGAGGATGCAGAGCCCTGAGCAGCACCACCAATGCCACTGACCTGGGGACACTGACACATTGCGGGAAGCAGCCCATGATGACACAGCCGGCCCTGGTTACTGAAACCAACACCCTGAGAGGCCAGGCCAAAGCCGATGCTGACAAGACCCAGCAGCAACTGCCTGCCAACCATGAGCCTGAGCCAGAGCCCGAGCCGGAGCCCATGCCCGAGCCTGAGCCTGAGCATAAGCCCGAGCCTGAGCCCTCCATAAAGGAGGACAAGAAGCCCAAGAAGTACCTGTCCGACCAAGGAGATGGCAAGAATGGGCAGATCGACATGGTGCAGGGCCAGAAGGCCGTGCAGGCTGCCACCATCACAGGCCCCAGAGCAGCTGCATTCCACGGCAGCAGACACCTGGCCCAGTGGGGCCTTCCCAGTCATGCCTAAGATGCAGGGCTCCTTGGAGCCATCTCCCAGAGGCTCACCTCACCAGTGACAAGGAGGGCTCTTACAGCACCTGAGAAGGCCAGGCCCCACCTCGCTGGCCCCACAACACTAGGTGGACAAGGCCCTAATAAAGTTTCTTACATCCCGAAACTGCTGGGAGGAGTATCTGTAGAACCCTTCAACAACCAATTTCTGCTTGAGGGTGGGTGTGGCATGGGAGGGGGAGAGGGGAGGACAGACAGTAGGACTTCCTGGGGACCAGCACGGTGTCACCATACATCATGCAGACACCTTCCTGGATGCCAGCCTCATGCATGGGCACTGAGTCTAGTCCCAACTGCACCGCTTGTATCCTGCTCCTTGGTATGGGCAAGTAGAAAAAAAAAATCAACTAGGTACCTGGCCACTTGGCTCAACACAGGGGAAACCTTAACAAACCTCCTGAGCCCTGGCTTCACTCTGGCTCAGCACAGCCCCTGCCCTGCCTGCCATTTCAAGACTGACTCAGCTACATCTCTGTCTCTCTTTCACTCCCTTTCATTCTGCCATTCCTAGAAGGATCATTTTCTCATGACCAAGATCTACATTTTGTTGATTTTGCTTTTGTGTTTTTATACTTGAAAGGCAGGTTCATGGGGAGAGTAGGAGAGACAAAGATCTTCCATCACCTGTTGGATCACTCCCCAAATGGCCACAGCAGCCAGATCCAGGACACTCTGAAGCCAGGGGACTGGAGTTTCCTTCGAGTTCCCTGCATATGTGCAGGTGTGCAAGGACTGGAACCACTCGGGCTTTCTCCAGCACAACACCAGACAGCTAGTTTCTAACTGGAGCTGCTGCCACTCAGGAACCATCGCCCATGGGAGGCTTGGTCTGCAAGGCCACACTGCTGGCTCCTCAAATCAATCTCTTCTAAAAAACATTCATGTGTACCAGAAAGAGCAATGAGTCATACCAACGGCTCAAATGCTATGCTCCTCAAGGACAGAAAGGTGTAGAAAAGTTGTGAGTTGTATAAGGATCAATTGTGCTTGGCCGGACCTCTGAGGAGGCCCAGGTCTGATATATGCTCTCCACTGTCAGACCACCAATCCTGGACGTGAACACTCATGTATCTGCATGCGCACACCTGGGCCATCTCTCAGACCCCTGCAACCCTACAAACATTGTGCACTAGGCCCAGCCCGTTCTAAAGTAGATTTGTCTACTCCATAGAAACATGCCAATGCTCAGGCTTGTTTTGAGAGAGTTTTTCAGAAACTCCAGGCCCAAAGAAAAAAAGTGACTACCATCTGCACATTATGCTCCAGATTGCAGCCCATTTGGAAATCAACAGAGTCCTCAAAATCACTTGATACCACTGGCCAAACGAGAGAGTCACCAGCTCAGAGACCTGCACAGGAGAGGAACACACCTCCACAGCCCAGCTTCAATCAGTAACATCCCTAACCTTTAACCCCTTCACCATGCAGAAATCAGTGACAGGACACCTGTCAGGCTCTGTGCTTCTAAATAAACACCTACTTCCTTCTACCATCCCAATATTAGTGCATCCCTTGTTGCATATGTGGCATGGATGACCTAGGATGTGACATGCTTGGGCTGCGCAGGGCCAACATAACCACAATCCAGCTACAGGGTCGATCTGTAAGGTGATTCCTGTCAGGAGGCACTACCTTAGAGGCAAGATGGACACTGTCCTTGCCCTTCTCACACTGCTCAGGCCTGCCACAACTTTTCAGGGTTTTCTTCTTGTCTAAGACCCTTTGTACACATTGCTTCTGCCTTCCCAAACTCTACTGAGAAAAGTTCAGCAGGCCTGCTTCAACAAGGTTTCCACTTAGGGAAAATCTGACATTCTTCTTCTAGTTATGGACAATGCATAGGTCAGGTGTTGTTCCATTTGTTCTTATTGAGACTTGTTGTCATTCTGTGTTGACTTGAATACTTCCATGCAGAATGAATGGAAAGACTGAGCAGTTGCCATTATTCTAAGGACACCTGGAAATGAACTCTGCATTAGTCTGAAAGCACCTTTGCCTTACTTCCATTCTTGAAGGGCATTGTTGGTTAGAGTTCTGCAAAGGGACCAGGTGACAGGGAAGGCAGAGGCAAGGGGAAAGCAGCTCTGCAGGACAAAGCAGGAGGGTTGCCTCTTGAAAGGAGAGAGAGAGAAAGAGACACCAAGGGGTCTTTGGAAGGGTCTTGTGGTTTTAAGCCTTCCATGACTGCTCCTTGATGGGTGGGAACATACAGGGACAATGTTCCCCACTGGTGCTCTCTTAACCAGTTAGGAAATGGGGAGCAGTGGGAGGTGGGGGCGGCTGCCATTGTTTCTGTTAGGCACTCAGTGACAGGTGTAAGTACTTCTACTCAAGTTTTCTCTTCTGCACTAAAGATGGTTTCCACCTGTGATCTATCTGGATAGAAGCTTCTTTCTGCTTCAGTTTCTTTCAGTTCAGATCTACTGACCATCCAAAAACCTGCAACTTGATGTTCATTGTAGAAAAATCTCTTTGAATGAGAGGTCTTCAAATGTCATGGAGAATCTGTATAATAAGGCCTTGTTTGATATCCTAGTGGTGAAATCCTTGCCTTGCAGGTGCTGGGATCCCATATGGGCACATAAAGTCCCAGCTGCTCCACTTCCCATCCACCTTCCTGTTTGTGGCCTTGGAAAGCAAGAGAGAATGGCCCAGTGTCTTGGGACCTTGCACCTGCATGGGAGACCCAGATCAAGCCACTGGCTCCTGACTTCAGCCTGGCTCTGGCAGCCACGTGGGGAGTGAACCAGCAACAGAAGACTTTTCTCTCTCCCCATCTCTCTGTACATCTAACTTTCCAATGAAGATAATCTTTAAAAATAAGAAGATGCACAAAATGAAAAACTTACACATTCACTTTAAAATGTCTTTGTACCAAAACCTTTTTAAATTCCATGTTCCACACAATTTTTGCAATACCCTGTATCCTTTCTGCCTTCTTTTCTCTGTCAAGGTCTCAAATATTATAGAAGACTTTAATGAACCAGTAGTTCTCTTACCATTTGGCTTATGTTCCATCCTTCTTCTCTTCTTGCTTCCATTAAGATGATTTCCTCTATCTTTTATCTTCCAAGTCGGCAAAAGTTTAAGGCTTATCTCTCAGCTGCTTCTTCCAAAGACAGCATTTTGAGGCAAATGTGGCCAAGTCATGCTGGTCTCCCCTCTCTGGGCTTTTTTCTTCTTGACTTGTCTCCTAAGGACAGATTCTGTTGTCAACACTTGGGTTTTCAGAAGAATTGCTTGTTAAGTTTTGTTCAGACTATTCCCTTATCTTTAGCAGGACTGTGTGACTCAGTCTACCATTATCAACATCAGAATCTGCAGTGTGGTTATTTAACAGCTTCAACAAGCTTTGATCTTTCTGTCTACCAAGACACAAATGGATTCTTTCAATTTCTAACAAAACATAAGACATGATTTATTTAAATACAAAGTCCATTTGCTTATATAAGACAAAGTCACAAATGAGTGTATGGTCAAATCGGAGGGACCAGTGTTGTGGAGTAACCAGTTAAGCCACCCTGCTCCTAGACTGCGAAAGACGTTGGCCTAAGTGCTTGGATCACTGCCACGCATGTGGGTGACTCAGATGAAGCTCCTGGCTCCTGCCTTCCACCTGGCCCATTCCCAGCTACTCGGACTTTGGCAAGTGAACTCGCTGATGGAAGATATGTGCCTCTGTCCTTCCCTCTCCCACTCTAATCCTGACTTCAAATTTTAAAATCAAAATAAAACAAAAAGGCCAACGACTAGAGACAGGTATGATCTATGGCTGCAGGTTAAGGTTCCTGTGTCTCACCACAAAGTGCTGGGATTGGATAATCCATGTCTGCTTCCCAGCTCCGGGTTCCACTAATGCAGATCCTGAGATGGAGTAGTAATGGCTCAAGTGACGTAGGCCCTGCCACCCATGTGGGAGACTTGACTGAATCCTGAACAGCAGCTTCAACCCGCGTAGTCAGCAGATGCAAGCATTTGAACAGTGAAGCAGAGGATCAGAACTAGTTGTCTTTCTGTGTTTCTTTATCTCTCTATTTATCAAATAATTACCTCTTTAAAGATTTGTTTTTTTTTTTTAACTGGAAGGCAGATTTACGGAGAAAAGGAGACAAACAAGAAGACCTTCTATCTACTGGTTCACTCCCCAAGTGGTGGCTATGGCCAGAGCTGAGCTGATACAAAGCTGGGAACAAGGAGCCTCTTCTGGGTCTCCCATGCAGGTCCATGATCACAAGGCCACCCTCAACTGCTTTGCTAGGCCACAAGCAGGGAGCTGGATGGAAAGCAGAGCACATGGGACACAGACTGGCATCCATATGGATCCTTGCACATGCAAGAAAAGGTTTTAGCCACTAGGACACTGCACCAGGCCCCAACATTCTTGGAAGTATTATTTCATAATCAGAAAATAAAAACTTTAACATTGAATATCTTCCATAACACTTCTACACTCTGCAAAACTTCTCTAGCACCATCAACAGGATCAAAGGAAGCTTGAGTAACCTTTCTCTAGCCATGTTAGGTAATGATTTTAAAAATATTAAATTGCTCTAAAATTGCTTCAAAAACTAAGGCTACAAAAGAAACTTTCACTAAAAGAATCTGTACCTTGTTGTTTCATGCTGAACATCAGCTTAACATCCACATCACCCTGAGAACACGCGGAAAGCAAAAGTGCAAGAAGGACCAAACAAAGCCTGTGGGAGAAAAAGAAACAAAGAGTTAGTTATGTGAACTAACTATTTTTGAAATTTAAAAGGCAAGGACACACACACACACACACACACACACACACACATCTGCCATGGATTTGTTATTTTCCAAATGCCTGCAAAAGCCTAGCCTGTCCAGCTCAAGCCCTGGAGCCCAGCACTCAGTACAAGCCTCCCATGTGGGTTAGTAAGGATCCCAGCACTTCAGCCATCACCTGATGCCTCCCAGGGTTCACACATCTGGAAGCTGGACGTGGAAACAGAGCCAAGTTCAAACACAGGCACTCTCATATTCTCTACGGGAATCTCAACTTTTGCCCAATTCCATTGATATCATGTTCACTTAAAAATTCATTCTTTTTTTTTTTTTTAGAACTTGTCTAGAATTTACTATGCTTCTTTGCTAATCACATAAAGCCATCATATTTTGGGGAACCTCAAACTTATTTCCATGTAAGTTATAACATATCTTTCAAGTGGACACATGTGTCCAGTTAGCCTAATTTTTGATATCACTCCTAGTGAATACGTGAAGTCTAGGTAAAGAACAAACAGTGAAGAGGGAATGTGAACAGAGGGATGAGACTTTCAATCAAGATGCTAGGAGACGCCAGCACTGCGCTGCAGCTGTCGTAGTGGCACTGGAATCCATATAGATTGTAGGGAGTGTCAGTGTGAGCATCCACTTCTCGGCTTCCCTTCCAGCTCCCGTCGTGTGCATTTGGGAAAGCAGAAGATGGCCCAAGTATTTGGACCTCAGCCACCAGGATGAGAGACCACGATGGAGTTCCTGGCTACTCTTTTGCTCTGGCCTAGGCCTAGCTGTTGCTGTCTTGTGGAGAATGCACCACGACTAGAAGACTTCGCTATCTTTGTCTCCTTCCCTGGCACACTTGCAACAACAACAACAACAACAAAAAAAAAAACAAAAATCACTCAAACATATGCATCCATGAAGCCTGAGTTCTATAATGCTCAGAGAATACATAGATTATGAAAATTACTCATTCACTTAAATTTTTAAAATTCTATTTCCATGAACTTTCTGAAGTATATTTTTATATTTCATTTTGTTCTTTAAACAAAACCAAAGACAGTAAACAAGAAAAGCTACAATCTTTACATGCTCAAAGTAACTTAAATTCTACTCAGAATGTGACTTCTACACTCAGACACTTCTGCTCTTATTTCCAAGAAATATTATGTATATGCCATATTTCTCTAAACAAAAATGAAGATGATTTCAAGTTCATATTGTAGTTTATGCTGGTGCTAACAATGGAGGACAGCACAGGGGCCTGGGCCCTTGCACTCCTGACAGTCTAAAAGAAGCTTCTAGTTCATGGCTTCAGCCTGACCCTGCCATAGCCAACTTAGGCAGTGAACCAGCACACTGCAAGACCTAGGTGTCTCTCCTATTTAGTAATTCTGCCTTTAAAAACAATTTTTTTTAATCTTCAGAAAAGAAGTTCAACAAAGCCTGCCAAGTAGATTTTCAGTTTGCAGGAACTTATTAATTCTACCCATTAACTCTAATTCATTAATTACTCATTAATTCTACTTGGAGGCCAAAGCAAGAACCTGGAAACTTGTGATAGCTATAATGCTCCCATTTGGTCTTCAAATGTCCATGAGAAAGCCTTATCCAAATGTTCCTGGAAGAAATGGGAACATCCAAAGTCTTCTGATGAAGAAATGAAGCTCACGACCTCTGCTCCTCCACCATCACCCCAGGGACTAGTACTCTCATCCCCAAGGACAAACCTGAGCCCCCAGACTGACCCAGTCCAGCTTCTCACCACGCTCTAACCCCCAATTTTTGCAAAATCCTTTCTGTCTTGTTTCCCACACATCTCTGCTACCTGCTTAACTTCATCCCATCTCAGGTTCCTTACAAGTGCCCTCACCTTGTCTTTTGTTTTATTCCAACAGTCTCACAATTGGCACTCTAATGCGACCTATTTGTTACACAGGTGTTTCTCATACTTCCGTGTACAACAGAATCACCAGGCCCCACTCCCAGAGTATGAAGTGGGTAGGATAGAGCTAGACCACAGTACCCACTGGTCTAAGTGGATGACAGGGTTAGAAACAGAACTGACCCAGCAGAGACCCTACCCATTAAGTAGGGCCATGCCATCAACAAACACGCTAGAAAACCATATCCAGGGGAAAGATTCTGTGGGGGATGTGTGGGCCAAATCCTATGGAAAATCTAGCCCCACAGGTTACTTCAAGAGATGGAGTGGTGATGAACTAAACTAGGTGTGACCAAGGAGCCTGCCATCAATCACAGATTAAAGAACTGACAACAGTCTGGACTGGTCGGGGCCACAACACTCAAATGTGCATCCTGTGTGGGGTGGGCCGGGATGCTACATTCACCAGCTCATCCAAGGCCAAGGGGAGGGCCACACTGCACCGGGCACTGGCCTAGAACCCGATGGCATGTATGGAAACTGGGTCTGGGAGGGGACCAAGGGAAGATATGTTGGAAGCCCCCCTGGCAAGTCATAGCTCCCACTGGTGAACAGGTGGTCCAGACTTGGGGGTCGGACAAGCTGGGCAAAGTAGCGCCAACTGCTTGGCAGTGTATGAAAAGATGATGGAACGGGCACACCAGGCAGTACTGAGCAAACCTTAGCCCACAAGTAAAATTAGAAACCAGGATGGAGCACAAGACATGCCCAGCTAGGTTCTTGCACCAACTGGTCTGCATGAGCCACGGATGCTAAGCCACAGTGTCTAAGGCAGGGGTCGTGAAAGGTGATGGGCTGTGCCAAGCTGAGTCAGAGCAACCACTGGCACGCTGAACCCTGGCTGGGAACAGGCCCGGTTGGGGAGCTAAGGGAACACCCTAGCTGGGTGGAGGTTCCCACTAAGGGGCGCACGAGCTGGAATGGGGCTGTGTTCTGATCGGGTTAAAATGTAGTCTCCCTTGGCACAGTGTAGACTGGGACTAGACGCACCAGGCCAGGTCAGGCTGCAACACCTTCTGGTGTTCTAGAGGACGAGGGTGGATGTGGGACAGACTAGGCTAGGTCTAAACCCCAACTGTCCCATGGATAAGCTATATGTGGGTAAGGTTGAGCTGTGGACAGGAGGTAAACTAGTAGTGCTGGATCATGGACCCCCTGGTATGCATGAAACCTGGCACTCAGAGGGTTTCTGAAGGAGGAGCCTGGGCAACTCCTCTGACAGGACACAGACCCTGCAAGTAAGCGCAAGAAGCATGGAAGGAAACAGCCCAGAAGAGGTCATGCAAAGTGTCCCACTGGCAAACATCTGGCATGGGTCAGGGGCAGACCAGGCTGAATCAGTTCACATCATCCACTAGCAAATTCAAACACCAGAGCA